TCAGAGTATGAGAGCTCGGGGCAAGCATCTACACTATGGGGACCTCATTTGCCAGTAAAAATATGATAATTGGTTCTTTACCCTTCTATCTGGCAACAAAACTGACACCTTTTTGCAAGGAGTCATGTTTGCATAGACCGCAATACCTGCAGTCATAATACAAACAAAAGAACATAACTCTGATAATGTGCACTGTCCTTGAAGTTGATTGGTCCACACCCGAGACAGCTTTCCTTCGAGCCTAGTCTCATATGGGTTGGACCAGATGACGCCAAAAGGCGCACAACTCAAGGACAATGCACCATCAGAGTATGAGAGCTCGGGGCAAGCATCTACACTATGGGGACCTCATTTGCCAGTAAAAATATGATAATTGGTTCTTTACCCTTCTATCTGGCAACAAAACTGACACCTTTTTGCAAGGAGTCATGTTTGCATAGACCGCAATACCTGCAGTCATAATACAAACAAAAGAACATAACTCTGATAATGTGCACTGTCCTTGAAGTTGATTGGTCCACACCCGAGACAGCTTTCCTTCGAGCCTAGTCTCATATGGGTTGGACCAGATGACGCCAAAAGGCGCACAACTCAAGGACAATGCACCATCAGAGTATGAGAGCTCGGGGCAAGCATCTACACTATGGGGACCTCATTTGCCAGTAAAAATATGATAATTGGTTCTTTACCCTTCTATCTGGCAACAAAACTGACACCTTTTTGCAAGGAGTCATGTTTGCATAGACCGCAATACCTGCAGTCATAATACAAACAAAAGAACATAACTCTGATAATGTGCACTGTCCTTGAAGTTGATTGGTCCACACCCGAGACAGCTTTCCTTCGAGCCTAGTCTCATATGGGTTGGACCAGATGACGCCAAAAGGCGCACAACTCAAGGACAATGCACCATCAGAGTATGAGAGCTCGGGGCAAGCATCTACACTATGGGGACCTCATTATGACTGCAGGTATTGCGGTCTATGCAAACATGACTCCTTGCAAAAAGGTGTCAGTTTTGTTGCCAGATAGAAGGGTAAAGAACCAATTATCATATTTTTACTGGCAAATGAGGTCCCCATAGTGTAGATGCTTGCCCCGAGCTCTCATACTCTGATGGTGCATTGTCCTTGAGTTGTGCGCCTTTTGGCGTCATCTGGTCCAACCCATATGAGACTAGGCTCGAAGGAAAGCTGTCTCGGGTGTGGACCAATCAACTTCAAGGACAGTGCACATTATCAGAGTTATGTTCTTTTGTTTGTATTATGACTGCAGGTATTGCGGTCTATGCAAACATGACTCCTTGCAAAAAGGTGTCAGTTTTGTTGCCAGATAGAAGGGTAAAGAACCAATTATCATATTTTTACTGGCAAATGAGGTCCCCATAGTGTAGATGCTTGCCCCGAGCTCTCATACTCTGATGGTGCATTGTCCTTGAGTTGTGCGCCTTTTGGCGTCATCTGGTCCAACCCATATGAGACTAGGCTCGAAGGAAAGCTGTCTCGGGTGTGGACCAATCAACTTCAAGGACAGTGCACATTATCAGAGTTATGTTCTTTTGTTTGTATTATGACTGCAGGTATTGCGGTCTATGCAAACATGACTCCTTGCAAAAAGGTGTCAGTTTTGTTGCCAGATAGAAGGGTAAAGAACCAATTATCATATTTTTACTGGCAAATGAGGTCCCCATAGTGTAGATGCTTGCCCCGAGCTCTCATACTCTGATGGTGCATTGTCCTTGAGTTGTGCGCCTTTTGGCGTCATCTGGTCCAACCCATATGAGACTAGGCTCGAAGGAAAGCTGTCTCGGGTGTGGACCAATCAACTTCAAGGACAGTGCACATTATCAGAGTTATGTTCTTTTGTTTGTATTATGACTGCAGGTATTGCGGTCTATGCAAACATGACTCCTTGCAAAAAGGTGTCAGTTTTGTTGCCAGATAGAAGGGTAAAGAACCAATTATCATATTTTTACTGGCAAATGAGGTCCCCATAGTGTAGATGCTTGCCCCGAGCTCTCATACTCTGATGGTGCATTGTCCTTGAGTTGTGCGCCTTTTGGCGTCATCTGGTCCAACCCATATGAGACTAGGCTCGAAGGAAAGCTGTCTCGGGTGTGGACCAATCAACTTCAAGGACAGTGCACATTATCAGAGTTATGTTCTTTTGTTTGTATTATGACTGCAGGTATTGCGGTCTATGCAAACATGACTCCTTGCAAAAAGGTGTCAGTTTTGTTGCCAGATAGAAGGGTAAAGAACCAATTATCATATTTTTACTGGCAAATGAGGTCCCCATAGAGAATGCAGTACAATCTGAAACAGATTAGATCGCTGTACAGCAGCGCATCCGTGAAAAACCTCCACGATAGTATGGCAGACTTACACACCGAGCATTGAACCATTGACTTTGTGTTGCTGTGCTGTGCATTAAAATTATTTCACTTAGAACAGTGGGCAGAATAGAATGTTCTTTGGCCACTGCCCTATGCTGTGTTGAAGTTCAGCTGTCTATTCTCATTCGAGGCCCTGTAATGATAGTGCCACATGCATTTAGATGTGGCTGTGTTTCATGCTTGAACTGACACTATAATTTGATGGACTTCCACTAAAAACTTCAATGCAATCGGCTTCTAAATTTGCATTAGAAAATTACTCATTTGAGGGTTGTTCAGCAGACCAGTCTGATTTACAGTTAGATTTTAATTCACAGCAATTTTCTTTTCTACAATGATGATTGACTGCAACCCACACAGATTGCAAGCACAACTGTTGTCCATGCAGATTTATTAATCACATTTGCCACGAACCACGTTTTAATATAAATGAAAATGAATGTGTCAAATATAAAGTCTATGGCGTTTAACCCATTCATTTTGGGAGGTAGTTGTGACCGCAGCATTTTTTGTCTTACATTTGTAACGGCTTGTGCATTCAGTTCACTTGTATTGCTAAGCAAACGGCATTATAGCACATTATTAGATTTTGTTTTATCCAAGCAACTATGAAATAGTTTTTTCTGAATTATAAATGGGCAACCATGATGAAATTAAACCAGTCCAGAATTATGACGCTCATGGTTACACCGCAGCAGTTTTAAGACAGTGGTTTTCTATCAACTGAGGTTTAATTCAGTCCAATATATTGTTCATGATATGACAACAGTATTCGGATATCATATTTAGATTACATTTCTCGCAGAGCTTTTATATGACCTTGTCTTTTTTAATTCGCTTCATTGCTTCTTGCTCTCATATCCTTGGAATCAAACTCGAGCAATTATAACTGCAACACCTCTCAATGTACAGAAAGTAATATTGCTTTGTAAGCAGGATAACTTACTAAAAATTGTCTCGCTGAAATATTTGTCCTTACAAAAAAGATATTAGTTTTTATTAATCTGCCGTTACATTCACGGTTCTATTTAAATTTAAAGGGAATATATCTGTTCCAAATTCAAGGAAAAATCATATTCTATTCTGTAAACCATTTTCATGTAAATCTAACGGTTGATGTTCGAGTGAAGATATTTCAAAGCCTTCACTTTTGTTTTGATGTAGCGGGCGTCCTTGTTTTGCCATATAGCATTTTACATTTATATCACATTTGCAATGCGGTCATTTAACCCCTCATTATTTCATGTTTTACTGAGCCATTATCACATATAAAGGCTCAATATAAGTGTTGGGTTTTTAGATTTGCGTCTCATAGTTACATTGTCCTCCATGGGACTTGCAGGTAATGCCTTGCCTCAAAAGAGATTTATATGTGCCCGTCAGGCAAAACACTCCAAAGTTAATGATGTCTATTTTCTCAATCCAGACTTTCATATGTTGGGCACACACCCAGATTGGCCAACACTAGGCTTCACACTGTGAAGATAGTTACTGCTTTATATGAAATACCATCATTCTTTTTTAAAATTGTGAAAGCAATGTTTTGTAATTTCCTTCTCGCTTTGTTTTAACCTCGCGGTTCATGTGTTTTTTTTATTATTACAACATTACTTTGTCCTGCAAAAACCATTGCAGTTTATAAACCATGTGCCTTTAAGTCGTGAATCATTGCTTACTCTTTCATTATTTCAGTTCAGTGGGGAAACTTTGTTTTATCTTTACTGATGGGCATTAATGATGAAATAGAGGCTCAATTGTTGGCATAAGAATGAATTAATTTGGTCATTCTTTATTTTTTGTGTCGTGCTCCCTGTTCATAGATTGTTGTGTGATACTCTGCAAGCGATGCAGCCCGGACAATTAAATAGATAGAGCAAGAAATATATGAATAATATCTGGACACAATTTAGATACCTTATTGAGTCTTAAAGCACTGACAAATGGAGGATTGTTGGAGCAGCTGAACAGATGCCATGTCTGAGCACATTTGCTGGGAAACAGGAAAGACAGTATTTTGCCACAGCAAGGCTGTGATATGTGGAAATCTATTTTGAAGCGGCGGTAATGCAATTCGGATGCTGCTGAACTTGCCACACTCTGACCCGTATGGGCATCCCCAAGGAAACGGACCAACGGATAATACGGCTGACGGACGTCACGTCACTGGAGCTGTGCCTGATTTGCTCTCACGCGCTGGATGCTGTCATAATACGGGAGAGCTCAATGCTGCCGTTCCGAACATCCATCAGGGGTTTTAGTCTGAGCCCGCACTTGAACGCTTCGCACGGATGATCATGAAACTCCATTTCAAACGCCGTTCAAACCATTAACTCTGAAGGTTCGCCCGGAAGACGGCGGTGCCGAAGGGGTTAATTCGAGTACTATTCAGTCTACATATTTATTGGTGCTGGGACTAGATTCCGTGCGATGCAGGCTAGAGGGAGCCTCACCGTGGCAACAGTAACCCAGCAACCGCTGCGCCAACTGTACGGTGATATCCGGCGTGATCATTTTGGCGTGCTATGAGAGCGAGCGGGAGCCGACTCGGAGGGGAGGGAGCAGCATGAGCCGCCGAGCTTACTTCTACCGTGTCCCTCCTCCACAGGAGCTGCAGAGGAGAGGGGACGGGCCCTCTGAACCTGGAAAGACCAAGGCCCTCCAGACAGTCGTTGAGATGAAGGTGTGTGCATTTTTCGAATTAAAGCTTTCGTGACTGCAGGGATTCATCTTCTTGGTTCTTTCGGTAAAGTCACGTAGAAGGGAAGTAATAAAATAATAAAAAATAAAACATAATAAAACAATTCTCATGACGTTTCGGCCACAACGCAAGCAGCCGACCTGGTCTTTACCTGAGGACGGCTGCTTGCGTTGTGGCCGAAACGTCGTGAGAATTATTTTATTATGTTTTATTCTATTATTTTATTATTTCCATTCTACGTGACTTTACCGAAAGAACCAAGAAGAAGGTGCGTGCAGTTTTTTTTTTCTGGCGCCATCTCTGCACTGATTTTTCGCAAATATTCACATGCAATGTATATCTAGTTAAATTGATTGTATGTTAAATATGAGCTTAATTTGCGTTAACTTGGTGCCCTGGATGGATTGTTGCTTTGTTTTTTTTACTTTGTGTCAATTTCAAATTAAGTTATTATTTTATATATCTTTCCTAGATTATCAGATGCATTTATGTTAGAGTTGTTGCCTTCAGCAATGTGCATGTTGTATTTAATTGCAAATTTGATGGTTACATGGACTGGTTAGAACACATTTATTGTTTATTAGTCGATATTCACATCTCCGTGTATATACCATCTGCTCCCGCATTCATGTCTTCAACATAATCAAGTTAATGATCGAAGTGTAGTCACTGTCTATGAAGCTGTTCCAATGAGAAAAAGAAAGCGGTCAAATTCACCCTACATTTATTGAATCCAGCACCTGCTTCCACAACAAGTCTCAGAGGCTTTGGTGGTTTCTCACAATTCAAAATGACAATACGGATGCTCACCAATGAAATGCACAGTGATAAGACCAGTAGGCAGCAGTTATATTTTATTTAATTGTATTTATGCTTTTCAACAACAGTACAATACCAAAGTATACACACAGTGAGAAATTGGTGAGAGGCAGAATCTTTGCTCTCCATGGATTTGTACGATTCAGTTTCTTGCCATTCGGATATATTATCCCAGCTGCAATTGCCGTGCAGTCTGTGCATGACAGCAGATAACAGTGGGCAGCTCATCTGCGTCGAAGTTCAGCCAGTTGATTCCTGATTCTAACGTGTTGGATGCGAACTTGCTTTGAATGTTGTGGCAGGAGAACCTTGTTGCATTGTCGTCCTGGTTAAACGGAGCACCAACAATAAGCGCTGTTTCTACTATTGCTTAAAAATGCCCTCCATTTAGTGGCACGAGAAATTTCTGAGGATTCCTCTACCTGCTCTGAATGCAGAAAATAAATCTCGAGTAACGGGCGCTGCATCGTAAAAACCTGTGCAGTTTGAGCATCTGCATTACGTAATGCCACGCAGCCATTGCTGTTAAAGTTATCGCAGAGGCGCCTGTTTTTTTACCGTCATTTTGCAAGCGTGCTGTGTTCGTAAGCACGCGTGCGTAATGTAAATGTGCATTTTAAGGACTTGACGTCACTTGAAATATTCACTGGATGCTGTGCCAAGGCACGCTTCCTTTTCACAGCTGTTTCCATGGTGAAAAAGTCAAAATCACCTGCTTCTTTAAAGCAAATGCCACGTGGGCATTGTCCCATTTTTGAGCAGCGCACTGTGGTAAATATTCAGACGCTGTCTTTCCGACAGCCCTGTTCTTCACCTGAGGACGGCTGCTTGCGTTGTGGCCGAAACGTCGTGAGAAGTGTATTTTATTACGTTTTATTTTTATTATTTTATTATTTCCCTTCTACGTGACTTTACCGAAATAACCAAGAAGATGAATCCCTGCAGTCACGAAAGCTTTAAATCGAAAAGTAAATGGGCACATTCACTTATCAAAACCCCACCTTCTTTGAACTATGTTTGTAAAATACTGCACCCTTTTAAAAGAGTAATAGTTTAAAGTGAATTCAACAGGTGTGCTCGCTTATTTTGTGCACATAACAAATATGAATAGCTAACTTTTTGCCTTGATGATGAGCTTATTTTGCAACTACAAAGTAAGACGTGAAAATTAAGTAAATTTTAGGTCTTCAAAAATGTGAAAAAATAGAGGTGTATCATCTTTGCAGTGGGGTTAAAATAAAAAAATCCACTCTAAATTCAGATTATGGTATTATGTATTTAAATTTAGACCAACGAACACAGATCCTGATGTATCCACATGGAAGTTCATAGTAATTTATATAAAAATATTTCGCTGGTTATTTACCAATGACAAGTACATTGCATTTGTAGAGGCAGCAGACCTTGAACTGAAAACTTTGTATTGTCTGCTGGAGAAAAATCGCCATCGTCCTTTTCCAGACGGGATAATAATTCAGAGAAAGTAGCGTTTTAAAGATTGCTGTCTGCCGAATGAGGGATTAGAGGCAAGGCTCATTGCAGCCATTAATTTGAACACTCAGGTGTTTCATTCACCATTAAGGGTCCTGTGGGTGGTGTCGTTATTCTATTGCTGGTTCGCTTCTGTTTGTTATTAGGCTTAGGACAAATGTGGCACCAGGGAGTATTTAATTCTGCATATTTATTTAATTAGTCCTGCATATATACATTTTCAGGTTGTTTTATTCAGGGATGGGTTCTTGTATTGGCTGCAAATTCTCATGGGATCTGTTTTGTTTTAAGTATTAAAAGTGCGTTTTGTCATGTAAATCAAAAATGCTCTGCCGGCAAGACTCTGAACTTTTGCTCATTGACGAATTACTAAAACGTTTAAAAAATAAATACGTTTTAATCTGTTCTAAAAAAAAATCCAAGGCTCATAAGTCCTTTACGGCATAATTGCTCGGACACAGTCTGCAAGCAGATGCGCACAATGACGTGATGCCACCAAATCGGTATGTGTTCAAGAACAAAGCAACGAGTGCCTCTGGTTAATCCCTTCAGTGTTGCAGCACACCCTATGACCAAATCACCCACATTGGACTGTTTGAATAGGTGACTATTTTGTTAAAACAGGTTTTCATAGGGCTGCGGAGGCTTCGTGGTGGATACCAGAGGACAGTGCAACAAAATCTATTTAGACTTAAAAACTTTCGTGACTGCAGAAATTCATATTCTTGGTTCTTTCGGTAAAGCCACGTAGATAGAAAACAAAAATCTAAATTAATATTTTCTTTTCTTTCCACCTGAAGAAAGACCGCTTGTGCTGCGATCGAAACGTCGTGGGTTTTTTGCTTTTAATTTTTGTTTTCTATCTACGTGAACCAAGAATATGCCGTACTTCTACGCTCCCACGTAAAACCTCCCCATCTTCACCAACACCCACTGACCATCGTGGTGAAGTACGGTCAGATGGCCCTCGCTTGACCCGCACGGGCGTGGCGAGGTTCTCATCCAGCAGTGGAGTGACTAAAGTGCCTGTACGTGCACATGTTGAAGCAGCACGGCGCAGCAGTTCAGAGTGGCCCGTATCATTACGAACCCTCACATTGTTATTGTAATGCTCAAACTCCGTGGTCCTCCCGTGCAATGATGCAGGGCACCTTGGTGCCTCGTGAGCGAAATTGCCACGGTGCGGCTGTTTTCCTTCAAGCAGCGAGACCCTACGCATGTTTGGGTGCGGATAAGTTTCCCTCCCTCCCCGCTCGTTGCACTGCGCAGGACACGAAGATTGCGTCCCTGGAGAGGAACCTGCGTGACCTGGAGGATGAGGTGCAGATGCTGAAGACAAATGGTGCCCTGAGCATCGAGGAGCGAGAGGAGGAGCTGAAACAGATGGAGGTGTACAAGAGCCATTCGAAGTTCATGAAGAACAAGGTAAGGGGCCCTTGAGTGTGTGTGTGATACACAGACAAAGAGACCCCCCTTTATAGCCTTCACAGACTGTTGGGGCGGGTGCTGTTTGTGAGCACCTATGAAGGCCGGAACAGCACACGGGGGGGGGGGGGGGCGTTGTTTACACACTGCACCAGGTACTCATTTGAGGCTGAGCTGGCCTAGGGGAGGCCCAGAACCGATTCGGACAATTGTCACTGGTGTTGACCATGAGCGAGAATTTAACTCAGGCAGCCAGGTTCGAAGCGCACTGCGCTAACCCCAACACTTCTGTTCCCCACATGTGTGTGATACATGTACAGACACACACACACATGCCCGCAATTGCACACTCAACTCCTAGCATGCATGCGACTGTAACAGTGATATTGAAATTTCCTCTTAACTCCCCACATGTTACCTCCATACCGCCAATGAGATCTGGCGCATTAGGACATTCTGAAACCACGGAATCTGCAAATTGAATCAATTCTCTGTTTAATCATCCGGTGGCTGTTGGCCCATTTTCCACTGATTGCCCTTTCTTACACGGCTGTAAGTGGGATGTAATGCATATCTGTGCACACAGTGTGCGTCCTACCAATTCCTCTTGTGATCAGAGGGTTTTAATTGAAGGGGGAACACTGTCATGTTTTAGCCGGTCTGGTTTCGTTACTTTGGCTTACAGTTCTTTGTCAATCCACTGTTAGGTGACACCTTCCTATGCTGTGTTGGCAATGGGGGTTGTTTGAGCATACTTCACCATGCTGGTCAGTTCAGGTTGGTGAATTATCGGTGTTAGCTGACTGGGAATAAAATTTAAGGCACTGCGCCAGCCATTGCACCATAGCAGATATAAACTTTGCAAAGTTAAGTGCTCGGTGCTCCGGCTATTGAGTGAACGGGAGGCAAATGCTTTTATTGGGAATACTTTTCAGAATGGTACACACAGCCTGCATTGTTCCTCTTCCAATGTAACGCTCGACCACTTAGTTCACAAGAGTCACCGATTGCTCGCAACCACAATCTTCAACAAAGCCTTGGTTATCGCAATCACGAAGAAGTGCAGGATTTTTAACGCCTCCTCCCACAGCATTCTGCTCACTTATTGTCCCCGACTGTTAACCGCCATATTGAGCGGCACAATATCACTTGGGAAACTGTTGGCTGATCATAATGAGCTGTAAACTGTGGCAGATTCGTTAGAAACACTTGCATCACTTGGCAATTTAGGTCACTCCACATACCGCACTCCTCCCCAATAACCATTAGTGGGTGACGTTAGTCCACATGGGGCAACCCCCCTTCATTAATAATCATGAGCTGAACTATTTTTCTATTGAATATTTCAAATTTACTGCAATATACACCTGTCCTTGGACGGGCAAAAAAAGCTAGTATTAAATAATATTGCAAATAATCATTAATGATTGTTACAATTTTCTCTGGAATAAGATGCTCCAGAAAGTAAGACACACTGCAAATTTGTGCGCCTGGGTCAATCAATGTATATACATTTGGTAACATGCATGAACACACACAACACCTATCAGATTATAAGACGCACCTAACTTTGTTTTTAAAATACAGGGAGGGGGGAGGAAGTGCATCTAATCCAGAGATTGTGTGGTGTACACTAAAAAAAACACCTAATATTGTATTATTGTTTATGCGTGTTTAATTTTCGTTTGCAATCTATAAAAAAAATCACCTGTGTTGCTAGAGCGTGATCGTCAGTGGCTACGAATGTTTAACAGGTTGAAAGGATGAAAGAAGATTTAGCGGCGAAAGAGGTTGAACTGCGGGAGCTGAGAAAGCGAGTTGAGAGCATTCATTCAGATCCTGGCTCTGCAGTAAGACTTGCGTACGGTTGTGTGCGTACGGCTGTGGGATCTGCAAGCGACAAAGACTCAGAGGCTGGAAAGATGACAGTAAATGTATTCGCCCGTCGCACGGCTCATCGCAATCTAGATGCCAAAAGTCGCCGCTGTAAGGCTTACTAAGATGCTCCTTTGCTGTAGCTTTAAAAAAAAATTTAAGCCCATTGACCAAAAAAGAGAGGATATAAATGAAATAAAGGAAGGATGTTTTTGGCTCATTTTCAAAATGTGATCATTTTAATGGAAAATTGCTTGTCGGTTTTCTTTTCATGCTTGTTTATTTTTTTTTAAATGTTTACACAGAGCAACTTCCGTTCGCAGTTAACAAGAAGGTTCTGTGTACCCAGCACAATGTTACGTGACTGAATACTGTGAGCTACGCAGCCCAGAAAATGGTTTCTGGCTCAAGTACATCCGCTGCTTGCCACGTTTCCGACATTACCTCGATTTCCCGGAACTTTTTAAAATTGCGCCGCATGGCATTCGGGCTAATGTGGGCCACCACGGGGGGGGGGGGGGGGGGGGGGGGGGTTGAGGGCGGCATAGAGCCTAAGAGCGCAATCTTGTGGCATTTGCAAGGCATAAAATGGACCTTCAAATTCTGAGCCATCCTTCCAGCTTGAGTCCTTTGGTTCAAAAGGAGTGGGGTCGTTTGCTTATTGCTGGGCTTAATTTCCTGTGAAGTCTGGTGCTTGTGCAATCAATGCAATCACCTTCTTTGATTAAAATGATTGAACGCTCTGCTTGTCTCAGCTTGCGCCAATTGAATATGGTGTTGTGTAGATATATTATTCTTACTAGTTGCTGCGGCAATTGCTTTGCTGACTCTTCACACTGAGCACAGATGGTAAGCAGAAAGCCCGATCTGCATTACTTCACTTATGCAGTTTGAATAGCATGCTGTATGCTGTAAATTATGTACTTATGCATTAACCAAGACTCACCGAGTTTTATTTGACTGCTTTAAGAGCTGAAATGGCATGACAAAGTTTTGGGAAATTAAGATAATTATCTAATTTGTTTTTAAATGGCATATTTCCTCCCAAATGTTCAGTTTAAAAGTTTAACATTATTTTATTAATTGCAAGGCAAAACATTTTCATTACTTTTACAAGGCCACACTTGTGTTGCATTTGCCCAGAAATGCAATGCCTTGTGTGCCTCATTGTGTTGGCCAACAATTTGTCTTGAGTTTGGAAATTAAACAGCCCACACATCGAGGACATTTTTGACTCGATATCAAATTCTAAAAATATCCTTGATGGCTGCGTTTACATCTGGGTCAGCGGTGGAAGGAAATGAAAGAATATTCAGTCAGTGGTAGTTGTTTCTCCCCAATTGTAATTATCAAGGGTACTGAGCCATTGTAATTACACTGATCTTGCCTGGTTAATTTACTGGCAGAAGCTTCTGCCTAGGGAATGCGTCTGCAGCCTGCAGAGATTTCTCTCTGATTACTCGCTCTCTCCTATCGGTCCTCGCGCTTTGGGGATTTAAAATAATACTTTACCTTGCTTGGTGACAGGTTGGCTGCGGGCTTAAGCGGCCGTGTGCGCGTGGTGCACGCGTCATGACATCGTGCGGGCCTGGGTACCTGCGTGCTCGGCTCTCGCTTTCCGAGCGTGGCGCGTCTGGCCTGCGAGACGGGCGAGTCCGCCGTAGGTGGACCGCACGGACGTGGGCGGGAAAGGGCAAACACCCCCCCCCCCCCGCGCCTTTCATTTTCACTAAAAAGTGTGGCCTTTTGTCGTTTCTGCATCATCGGTTGCGCGTGCTCGCACGCAAACACGCACGTGCAGGTGGACCAGCTGAAGCAGGAGATATCCAGGAAGGACTCGGAGCTGCTGGCAGTGCAGACCAAGCTTGAGACTCTCACCAATCAGAACTCGGACTGCAAGCAGCACATCGAGGTCCTCAAGGAATCGCTCACGGCCAAAGAGCAGCGAGCGGCCATTCTGCAGACAGAGGTGCACGGTCCCATTCCCTACGAGCAGTGGGGACGGGTTTGTCTGTTTCCCTCCTCCTGACCTCAGTCGTTTTCAGATCAAGCGACAGATTCCAATTAAATACTGTCTGAGAGGCATACGGTGGCATTAGTCAATGCTGTCTACCACACTTTATTTGAACCGGATAATCGCCTATTTGTTTTACATGATTGCTATTGTATACATTGATGTGTACAGCCGTCTTGTCAATCCACTGATGGGTGAGGGCCTCCCCATGTCACGTGGGTCATGGGAGGTATTTTGGCTGTACTTCAATCCGATTAATGTGCTTCGATGAAGTTGAGGTGCAAATAAGTTGGAGCATCTAAGTACTGCACAACATTGGATTTTGCTGGACTGACATCCGCTGCCCCCCCCCCCCACCACATCGACTCTGCAGCTTGTAACACAACCGGTTGTGCAAGGTTGCTCATTCAAACGCTGTTCAGCCTCGGCTGTGCTGAGCTTCCTAACTGATTAGATCCTATGCATTCTGGCGAGATTTGCATACACGATGTAGGCATTGTCAAGATGGTATTGTCAGTCAACTTTTTTTCTTCCCCACTTTTTGAGGTTTGTGCAGTGATTAATTGCAAATGGTGACTCACAGAGCCCTCGTCGCTGAATTGATCATCTATAAATACTTAATGTTACGCCGTTCTTGCTGGCTTGACAAGATGGATTGGGTCTCGTGCCTATTTCCTCCCCCGCCAATGGGTGTTCATTGCACGCGACACTGGATTCTCTCACAGAAGCATCCAGTGATGTGCAGAATCATCATGGTCATTCCACTGCTGGATGAAGACCTATCCAAGCTGACGCCTTCCGTCTCGGTCTCGTGATGTAACAACTCATCAAGCATCTGCACATGAGCAGATTTAATTTATTGATGTACACTGTGTCATAGGCGTAATCAGCAATGATTGTTCCACTACTGGGTGAAGCATTAGCAAAGCCTGTGATATAACTAAACTATGAAACTAAAACTAAACAAAAATAGTTTTTTTACCAGGTAAGGCCCACTGAGCTATATAGCTCTTTTTGAGAAGCGATCTGGTCACAAATGAAAGCTCAACGAGATGGCTTATGTGTAAATTGATAGCAGTGCAATACTGAAAACACATCTTTGTAAATGTGGACATCCACGTGACTACGGGGAGAATATGCAAACTCCAAATATATAGATGTAAGTGTCCGGATCAAACCCACGACTTCCTGCATGTAAGGCGAGGTTAACATCTTGCCACCATGGCGCTCCCTATCAGCCCATCAAGCATCCGCATGTGAGCCGAGTTTATGGCTCCATTGCTGTGAATGACACTTGGGTGTCTTCCCTCCCTTGGCTCCCACTCTGTTGTTAGTCTTGACCACTTGCAATTCTGCCTGATAGCAATGTCTGTACCAGGCCTACTGTAACGAAACTTTAGCAACATGCTAAAATCATTTAACAATAGTTAATCTTGAATGCACATGACATTGAATAATTATACATCAAATGGGAATTACTGTTTTAATGTTACATTCGTGTATTATGTTCACATAAATACATTTCATTTTGACACTTAGAAACACCTGAGAATGCACAACCATTGTTATGTTTTTAATAATTCACTTTCGCAGTGGATTAAACTGAAGAATGTATTACCACTACTTACCATTAGAAAGACATTAATTTCCAATTTTCTTATTTCCCCAATTTCCAAAATATTTTGCAAATGATTTGCCGTAACCTTATGAAGACTAAGTTATCCATTTGCAACCCAATAGCATTTAAAGGCATCTTATGGAATTTTCTGAGAATTGTCAAATTCCGACCCAATTACACAAACCAGCTGCCTTCGGGACGGGACGTTTCATTGACTCTCTTTACAAATTCAAGGGAAAGAAATATTGGTTAAATGCCAACTTCAAAGGGTAGGTCATAAGCACGGACACATCTAAGGCTAAGGAATCTACACACTGCAGCTGTAAATGATAATTCGATTGTTTTGCTCTCTTGTCGGCATTTATTTCAGCTAGGGCATGAGCCATTGAGTGAATTAAAAAAAAGTACTTTTTATTTTGTTTTATAATCCCGAGATTTGATCTTGGCCCTCTTTTGGCATACCACGGTTGATTACAACATGGAGCGTGGCCAAAAATAACTGCAGGCAGCCTTAAAGTTCTGTCTGAAGGAACCAGATTTTATTAACAGGAAACCTGCACAAGCACAAAACACAACCGCTGCACAATTTGAGCCAGGCAGAATTGACATTCGTTCGGAAATTATTGATATAAAAAAAAACATTTCAATTATTGACGTCATTAAAAACGGCGACCTAACCTTAACTCTAACCTTATTACTTAACCTTGCCGGCACTTGACATCGACGTTTTCATTATGAATATAAAAAAATACAGTTGTGGACTAGTAGGTGAAATAAATCATCGATGCTACTTATTTCTGATCCTGTTTCAATCTAGGGAATGCACCAATGGCAATTTGCAGCCTTAGCCCACAATGGATGTTTATTGCATTAAGATTAACCATCATCATCACTAGCCATGGTCAATCCACTGCTGAATGAAAATCTCCCCAGGCCGCCACCATCTCATGAAAGCGATATAATAATAGGCGTTACTATTGAACACATTTAAAGTAAAATCAGGAAAGAGTCTTTAATGAAATAACCCCAAATACTCCAGATATTGTCATTTCTTGGAAATTTAAGCAAGGTTGAGTCTGGATAATACATGGATAGGTGAACACCATACCAAACAGTTTATACAAATAGGTGTTACCCTTTCTGGCAATAAAACAGGTGTTCAGATGTTAAAACACCAAACAGAAACCATTTTGCAAGGTGTCATGTCTGCATTCACCACACATACTTGTGGTGAACATGCAAACAACAAAAACATGCTCTGCTATTATATGCATTGTCTTTGAAACTGATTGGTCCACACCAGAGACAGCTTTCTTTAGGGCCTAGTCTCACAGTGCTAGAGAATGTCAAAAGGCGAACAGCACAAAGACAATGCCACTCTCAGGGCATTTATAGCTCAGGGGTGAGCAACTACAACGAACCTTTTCTGCCAGTATTAAAATATTACAATAGGTTTTACCCGTTCTGGCAATGAAACAGGTGTTAAGATATTCTTGGTTCTTTCGGTAAAGTCACGTAGAAGGGAAATAATAAAATAATATAAATATTAAACAATATAAAAAACAATGTTTTATATTTATATTATTTTATTATTTCCCTTCTACGTGACTTTACCGAAAGAACCAAGAATATGAATCCCTGCAGTCACGAAAGCTTTAAATCAAAATTTAGGTGTTAAGATGTTTAAACACCAAACTAACCTTTCAAAAACAATGCATATATATATTACCAGAGCATGTTTTTGTTGTTCGCATGTTCACCACAAGTATGTGTGGTTAATGCAGATAGGATTCCTTGCAAAAAGGTTTATGTTTGGTGTTTTAACATCTTAGCACCTGTTTTAGTGCCAGAAAAGTTAAAACCTATTCTTATATTTCAATACTGGCCAGAAAGGTCCCATGTTATAACAACAGTTTTTTATGCTGCTTTGGTGCTTCTCCGTGGTTCTCGGATGACATTGCAGGACAATATCCGTGCTGCATGCAACATCTAAGTTGCCCGCCTTCACCAACCCACACTGACCATAGCGGTGAAGCATGTTCAAATAACCCCCATGGGTGTCACAGCACAGGAAAGCCGCCTTCATCCAGCAGTAGATTGAGGCAAGGGCTCTACATGCACATGTACAATTTGATGTAAGGAAGATTCCTTTGTTGCAGGTTTTACAACGCATTATTTGCCAAAGTGCTTGACCAAGGACGCCCATTAGTAGAACGTTCCTACCAAGCACTTATATTTAGCCACATTATTAAGGAGGCACGCAACCCCATAGAGAACTTATAGTGAGCCAAGGACAAAATCCAGAAGAGGTCTCTTTGGGGTCTCTCGCACCCGCAACCGCCTCCCTCGCACTCTTCAGCTCCCTGCCCCCCCTGGCCCCAAGTCATTAAAGTGCTCCCTTTCAGTGAGCCTGAGAGCAAGCAAGCTATGTTATTATTCAGGCCATCACATAATTGGATGTTTCTTGCAGTCTTGACTTACCCGGCGTGTGATTCACCCTGAAGTCCACCACTGTGCCCCAGAGCTTGAATTTCAAAGTCGCGGTCTTAATGCCACACTGCTTGGTTCTCGGAGAAGGGCCGTGTGATCACGGACGCTTTGCGCGTGATGGTTGCACGCCCCCCCCCCCCCCCCCGCATGCCCCCCCCCCCCCCCCCCCCCACTGTTCGCTGCCTTTGCGTCGCGCGCTGCAGAGCTCTCCCAACAGGGAGCGTGCGGCGTGTAATGCCGTCAAATATCGAATTTAAAGTATGCCGCAACATTGACATTGTAATAACTACCCGTGTCCCTTACAAGGGATCGCGTAATTAAAATTGTTTCCCTCACTGGGAAGCCGCGTCCCCCTTTTTAATGTTTGACATCGCCCCCGCTGACGTTGTTGTACCAGATGGCAAAGAGGCACTAAAATGCCACCTCCTTACAGGCAGAGCCATGCAAGATGTTACCGTCCCCCACACTCCTGAGTTTTCATTGTAGCACGAAACTGATTCAAAGTCACGGATTCTTTCCAGTTCGTTTGTGAAGCTCCCATTTTGGAAGATAAAACAAACACTACGCTTGGCCCAGTCGCTGCACTTCGTTTATTAGTCTATTCCCAAAACTGATTTGAAAAAGTAGACGTTTTAGGGTGTGAGGTATTTTAGAAAATCTGCAACTAATTTGCTCATCTTTTTTTTTTATTATAGCAAAATAAACTTTTTTTTTGCTTTGACTATCCAAAGATGAGTTGCAACGCACAGTTATAACATGTAACTTGATGCTGACGTTAAGAAAAAAACGCCACTTTTTTCAAATTTTCTCGTGTGGATTTCACACCTGATGATGATTGCTTGTGTTGCAGTCGAAACGTCGTGAGAATTTTATTGTTTTATATTTTTATTATTTTATTATTTCCCTTCTACGTGACTTTACTGAAACAACCAAGAAGATGTAACTAGTAGCTTGAATTTACAACCCTTCATCCATCCACTGCTGGATGATGGGCCCCTCACAGCATGTCGATCATGGGAATTGTTTAATCATACTTCACACCACTGGTCAATGGAGGTTTGTAAATGGGGGCCAGGACTTGATATGATATCACTCACCACTGATATTCACCATGGCTAGGAATCAAATTGTGCCACAGCTCCTTCCATTGGTAGTTACTTCATTTCAATGTAGTTAATGGTGGAGAGAATACATCACAAGCACTGCTGAACAGTGACGCTGCCTCTACTGCATCATACGAGGCACCTTCACTTCAAATTCATTACGTCTCATCGTTGTTCTCTCGAGGTACTTTTTCATCTGACAATAATAATCATAACTTATCCATAAAAGCCTCACCGAGTCTCAAAACGTGTATTCAGATGGGTCCTGCCGAGTTTTCACATTCGGCAGTGATGTTGCCATTTGTATTGGAAATTGAGTCGTTTGCAGGTAATATTTCAGCAGTTGGGATATTTGGCCAATACGGAACAGGTGGAGAGCATCCAGACTCCACACAGAGACACCCGAGTCGGGAATCAAACCTATATACTGAGGCACAAGAATTTCCATTGCAGAAACTCTTCCACCCAAATACCACTGGAACCTGCTGGCAACCGTGACTGATAGAATCAATCTTTCCAAACCTGGATAATGATTTAGGAGAGAGTGTGAATAGTTGTGAAAGTAAATGTAGTGATTGCAGATACCAATTGAACAACATACCTTCCTCTGCAGTGCTTGTATTTCCAAATAAGAAAAGCATGCAATGTAACTAAATGCTACACAAAAAGATTACCTCTAAATTACTCAATTGGGGGAATTACACATGGGGACATTGCCGCCCCCCTGCTGCAAAAACTTGTCAGGACCCTTCTGAAAAGGATAACTGAGTATAATAATACGAAATAAATACATATCCCTTCATATTACATTAGCAGCAGAAACAAATAAAGCTTTCGTGCTTGCTACAGAGGTGACTTCTGTCTCTTTTGAGTTTTCGCCCGAGTACATCACAGCGTTCCTCTTTTGGATCTGGCCGTGACTGGTTTTCATGTCTTTGGGTGATGGGGATTTCACGGGACTCTCTCCACTCGAGGAGGCTGCACCTTGTCAGCATTGAGATGAAAGAAACCAACTGCATTGCGGTGTCAAAGCAATGAGCCGGCACCGCTGAGATCCATCCTGGGCTATAATCCTCGCAGCGGCCTACGATTAAACATTCAGCAAGTTTACGGTCCCAGCTAGAGATCACCAATCGCCATACGAAGAAATGTTTTTTTTCTTCACTTGAACCTGTTCTAGCTCTGCGAATTAAAATGTTCAGTTTATCTGCCATGTGGTGAACACTAATTGTAGGAAATACAAAATCTCTGCCTTTAGTGTGGACGAAGAAGCCCATTCAATGGACTTCATAAGTAGTTATTTGATGCCATCTTCCATGGCTCTTTTGTGACTTGGCTAGCTGCGAGTGTTCTCAACTTTTTAAAAATCATCAACTAAAGTCATGACGCCATGAGATCAAAAGAGAAACGTGTAAACTTTCATGCCTCGGACCAGATCAACCACACCAGTCGACATGTCCACAGTGCGCGGATATGTCGACTGGTGCGTGTACACGTACGTAACGTGTACAGTTAACAATCCGCATTTTAATGGTTCCACTGCTGCGTGCAGGTTGATGCCTTGAGGATGCGCCTGGAGGAGAAGGAGTCTCTGCTCAACAAGAAGGGCAAGCAGCTGCAGGAGCTGACGGAGGAGAAGGGGACGCTGGCCGGAGAGATCCGCGACCTCAAGGACATGCTCGATGTCAAGGAACGCAAGATCAACGTTCTGCAGAAGAAGGTTCGTGCCTCGCGCGTCCCTGCATTTATCTGAACATAGAGCGGCTCCTCGCTCCACGGAACGTCCTCAATTTTGCTGTCAGTTTTTACCGAGTGGCGCCTAGATGTTAACTGTCTCGCCTGATATACAGGCGGTTGTGGGTTCGATCCCGACCCTGACGCCCGTATATTTGGAGTTTTAATGTTCTCCTTGTGGTTGTCTGCATTTTTCTCCGGGTCCTCTGGTTTTTCCCTCCACATTTAGAAATCTGCATTTTGAGTATTTGGATGCTTATACATTTCCACGTAATAAGCCACTTCGTTGAGCTATCATTTGTCGCCGGGTCACTTGTAAAAAAGAGCCACAGCTCATTATGACAGTTGCCTATATCACTCCACTGTAAAAACTAGGCCAATGTTGGCAGATGTCGAAAGCGAAGCAATTTTGAGCCTGGTGATCATAGTACCTGGATTGCAAAAGATAGAAAACATTTCTCTGCAATCAACCCTCAAGTATGAGGGTGATACGAGCTCTATCGATAGGTAATACCTGGATGGGGGACTGCTTATGGAGCACCAGGTGTAGTAGTTTTGAGCTGAAAGTCAGCCAGGAGATACCAGTGCAGCCAATGTATTTTGCAATTTGTCTCTGTGAAAATGTGAGCGTGTACACCCCTTGTCTACTTGGGTTTTCTCTGGTTGTTCTGGTTTATTTCGACATGCCAAAAACTCAACAACTGAATTAACCAAAAATGGCAATGCAGGATTCTTCTTGAAAGAAAATATCGAGACAAAGTGAGAATTTCTTTGGTTAATAATCGGTATTATTGTGTTTCCTCCCGTTTTTGTGCATGTCACATTCCTGCAACTTAAGGCATGACTTGACTTCTGTCATCCTCTTTAAGTCATGGCATGATGGCCCTAGGTTCAGGTGTCTTCAGAAAATACTTTGCATTTGCTCACTGTGGTTTATAATGCAAGTGTTTAAGTGTGGGGTTGCGCAATCTAAATAGTGCCGAACAGCACAGACTCCGTGAAAATATAACATAAACGTTTAACGTGTCCTTGTGTTTGTGGCACATAGTGATACGTTTTCCTCCTCGTTAAATACTCGCTATGAGATTTAACCGATAATGCCGGAAAATAAATTGTCACTTATGTCTTTCTCATTTTCTACAAAACTGAGAAACGAAGTTTATATGCAATGTAAAACTAAAGCAAAGGGTTAAGCGCAAATGGCTTTGAATCTTCAACGTTTTACGAAAATGCATTCGTTCACTTTGGTAACTTGCCGACAGCATTAAAAACTAAGGAGATCTTTGCAAGGCTATTGAAAAGTTTTCAAGAAAACAATCTTATCGCATCTGAGTAATGTATTTCTGAATTTTTTTATAACCTACATTACACAAAGAGGCTTCGCAAGCTCTCTGTTTTCAGGTTGTCCTGCTTGTTGTTCCACGTGTTGTCCGCTGTTTCACTTCCACTTGCTGGGAGATTCTAAAAATAACAAAAAATCACCCCATATGAATCTTCAATTCCTGAAGAAGCTATGCGTGTTCGTGAATATAATCAATTCCTGAATAATCTGCCGCGCTCAGCGCAACCCGAAATCACGTTAGAGAGCTGTACAACACAACGCAGTAATAACAAAAAGACTTCCTGTGTGCGTGTATTTATTTTAACGTTCTCATATTTTCTTTTCTTGGGCTTCGTGTTAAGAGAATCGCTGGTCGGTGAGTTGGCATTCACAAGCTATGTCGCTGTCTGAAACGGAGGTTTTTTTTTAAAGGAAAGGCCTCAGTGCAAACATTTCATACTGAATGAAAGCATTTGAAGACCTTAATAATACATCGAATGCGTTAAAGTTAAACCCACGGTCGCTTCGAGTCTGCCACTGCTGTCTAATGAAAAAAACCTACTTTTATGCGTGAAAGTAAACAACGTGGCATTGTTTGTGTCAAGTGTGTGACTGTCGCCGCACAAATTCATCTCTGAAACATTGTTTTAGGTTGCCAAAACAAGCCGGCAAATGATGTCTCTTTGGCATTGTGTACTCAAGAACGGTGTTCCCATCATTACATTTTTTGTAATGTAATAAGGCGGTCATTAGTGAAACACTTAAAATAAAAATATTGAAGTTCAACAAAAGTTGACCATTTCAAACTTCAAATATGATTCAGCAAATAAAATAGTATTCGTTCATGAGTTCCCAATTACTGTGAGTGTATGAAGAACATAACTGCAGTTCATGGGCCAGAGCAGACATTGGTGCCACCTCAGGGTAGTAAAGCTTTAGTGGTGCCATTTTATTCACATGGCAAATGAGAGTTAATTATTTTGAATGTATTTCACATAATTCACCGTTATTGCTCATTTATATATCGCCACTCGGCAGATGCGCCATCTCACGCAAAAATATCAAGTAACAAATACCCCCTGCTGTGAATGCGGCTGCACGTTGCAATCAATGGATCGCACCATTAATCAATGCCCTGTGAGATCTTCCAAAGGAGGAATAGCTGAAATACACTCGGTTAGCAAATACACCATCAACCGGTTTTCATGGCTCTTCAGGTACGGCCACTAGGTGCCTCTGTGGCTCTATGAATGGGAAACCTACAAACTAGCGCGCTCAATAGCATTGGCCTGGTGGGTGGAAGGCAGAGCTGCAAGTGACTCTGCCCAGCAATGCAGTAAATTGAAATTGGCTTTTAATTGCTTGGCTGAGGGATGCCCAGGTTAACAAGCAACTGGGTAGCAAGCGATTAATTTGTCATAATTTTCGGTTGTCACTCGCCGAGAAAATGCTTGGTCTTTGCGTCGGAGGGGGCACATTAATGGAGCTTTCTCGGGGCGGTTATTAGCACAGTTCTGTTGGAATGGAAACAACAATTCGCTTTAGTTTAAGTAGCTGCACTACCAGGACTGTGATGAATGTGTGTGTACAACGACTGCACGATCAGATGTTTGGCTGGTTATTTTTTGATTCGTCATTGATCTTACTTCCAGCGGTGGATGTTTACTTGCTCCTTTTTCATAAAGTGGTGGTCACGGAAAGGATGAAATACTGCATTTGCGGGGGGGTAGTTGAGCTTAGCTATAAAGTACTTCCTATAAATTCATTTCTTAATTGGACACGTCGGTTTAGACAGTGCCTGTTTAGCGGAATGTGTAGGCGTTGCGCCTTTGCCAACCCATGTGCGCGACTGGGGAAAAAGAAAGAACGACATCGCAACACAATTTCGCGTATTTTTCCAGAAAGCTTCCCGTAGCGGGTGCACGTGTTTAGCCGTTTGACGCAGATGAATGGCAGCGCGCGCACAATTTGACGTGCATACCTTTATAAGTTATCAAGCGCCGTTGCTATTGATTTAAAGCCTTGAAATATTTACAGCTGTGCTCGTTTGTGAGCAGGGTGTGCAGCAGTAGCGTATTTTTACGTCACTCGTGCACACGGGAAATGCGAGTCTGCTCCCTTACGTGCGAGCTAGCGCACGCGCGCGTGCGTGTGTGCATACGCACGGTCGGCTTGAAGGCTCAAGCTTGTGCTTGGCCCCTGTCTCTCAGCGTGCATTCGTGCCTTGGCAGCGAATCCGGCTCGGCGTGGTCGGGGGTGGGGGGTTGGAACCGCAGAGTTTTGGACGGTGGCTCATCCCTCCTTGGAATGCGGCATTAAATTACCACGCCTGATTGTTGAGTGTCACGCGCGCTAATGCCAGCCACAGTCCATCGCAGCTCCCACCGGGCATATCACAGGCAGACCGAGCAAATACAATGCGATGGGTCTTCGCGTCTGTGTCACGCCTATTATTTCTTATACAGCTGAGGGTGCCACAGTGTGAGTTTGGCAACAGTGCGTTTTGTGCAGACTCTTAATGAATAAGCACTATGCAGCCACAGTATAATGTAATTGTAAGTGAATTTTAGACTCCTTCAGCCCTCCTATTTCCCCCTCCCCCTCCACAAATCAAAACACTGTTTATTTATGTTCGGGTAAAACTAAACCGATTCAACATAAGGCCAGGTGTAATTATATATACATTTCTATGAATATGGTGACTTTTGCTTTGGGAATACAAATTTGGCAAAAGTGACGTTGCTTTTGGTCTTTATAGTTTGGAGAACGTTTTCTCACAATGGTGGTCGTTCAATATTGTGACACAAATTACTCCAAATCCTTGGGCAGTAATTGATAGCATTCAGCTGAAAAGGCAATTTGATTCAAAAGCAAATATACAGTATACCATATGTAAAAATGTATTTTGGGAAATATGTATGCAAAAGATTTGCAGAATATTTTGCGTATTACAATAAACAGCTGTTCCTATTTTACAGCATTGGTGTCACACTCCCTACGTTTTGCATGCCATGGATCAAATCAAATTGTCATCACGTTGACTTGACATCGGCTTAAACAACATCTCAATAGCATTTGAAACTTGGGCACATGTTTAATTGAAAAATGCATCCGATTAGAGATAAGAGTTGAAATCGGTGGGCATCTAATGATGTCAGCTGTACGATTGGCAACAACATCCAGGCATTATAGGGTTTCACATCATTCACCACATACCATTATCAGCCACTGCATGCTCCGGAGGTGGCATGAAAGCATTTTTTTTAACCGTTGCTGAAGTTGGCGAAATCTTGCAAAAAAGGGTTAGAAGCACTGCTTAGGAATTCCTTTACATTAATATGCAAGGGAATTGTTTTTGGTGGTGGAAAATAATAGTAAATCTCTTTACTGATCTACAAGAATGATAAATTTAAGCCAAGCTGGCAGAAATGTCTTATTTAAAGCCTGCTCATTTGTTCTCATCTTAGTGTTGCTTTTACTGCATTTAAAGTATTCCACAATGGTATGACTGGTTTCAGAAGCAAACCAAAATAAATAAAAAATTGTATTTCTCTGAGTAATTTTAGCATATTAATTACGTGTCCTGATTTGCGGGTCGTAAGTACGTTCATAAATTAATATAATTTACATAAAACTGCCAGGAAAGTATATTTCTGCACATTATT